TATGTTCATTGTTCGAACATTTTCCCTATTGGACCAACGCTTTAAATAGCATTTAGTCTATGAAAATATTATGCTCTTACAACAGTTAAAATACCAATGTTTTTTTGTTTTAAAATTATGATGAATATTTTTTTCCCTTCAAAATTTGCTTGAGGGAGGGGGGTGAAGTTTATTGGTTCTTGAAACTTGAGCACAATGACTGATTAAAATTTAAATACTTCGCTCAGTTACTTGAACACATTTATATGATGATAATGATATTCTGGAATTCCTGGAGAACACAGTGGAACGAGAAACGCAAAAGAATTTCATTTGGATTTGCAAGAAATCTTCTCCGTTTAAGAAGTTCTATAAAAAACTCGACAAAAAAGGGAATTTATGAACTGCAATTAGAAAACTTCAATTTGAACAAGACATTGTATTGAATAATTCCACAAGGAAACAGTCAAAATTATTTCCAACACTTTACACATCGAGTTCATGAATTAAGGATCTGATTCCGAGACAAATGTTGCTCTATGAGAACCAACAATTTACAACAAAAGGAGAAAAATGACTAAATAAATAAAATTTTACCCTATATGTACAGAAAAAGAACAAATATGTGACAGTGTGACAGAGTTAATACAAATTTACACTATCAGGAATTTTAACAAGAGAAAAACTGGGTCGAAAACAGACGCTTTTGGAAAGCAAAAAGTACTAGAACAAGTACGCAAATAAACCAATCGATTAAAATGGGGAAATACTACAATAAAAATTAAAAAAAATAAATAAAAAATTTAAAAACTGGTGAAAACTATAAGAATATAAGTAATGAGTGCATTAGGTGCATTTAAATATTTTGTCTCAAACAATACATTGTCTTTCACTCGAAGGAAAATATTTCAATTGTCCTGTTTTAGTATACCTTACCGACATTTTATATTTTTTATAGGTAACTCGTCACACGAATTTTGTTGAGATTTTCAGTGATTTTTCCTTACATTTGCGAGAAAAGACACAAAAATTTTCAGAAAAATTCGTGAGATTGTTATCCTATAAAAAAATAAAATGTTCCTGAAAATACTGAAACAGCACGGATGAGCTACGTTCCTTTGCGCAGGAGACGACTGATATACATTGTGTAAACTCAAACAAAGATAACTCAATTTGAAAAACCCACAACTCAAAAATGAGTCAAGAACGTGAGATAATTTGACAAAAAAAGAAAAAAGGGGAGAAGACATTGTTTTGGGTTCACTGGCAGCATGATAACTTTTTTTATGCCTTTTTTGCTTATTCTACTTTTTTTTCTAACTGAGAAAAAATGACACTGTTACAAAAAATAAAATAATTCAATCAGAAGTCTTCAACATTTTCAAGAGGTGTGGTTGTTAAAAACTTTGGCACAAAATCTAAAACTGAGTGTGTTTTTTGTGTTTGAGATACTTCTAAACTTAAAATCACAACCTGGATATGAAACAAAGGAGTTTAATACTTTTATTTTCCTTTCTCTTAGTTGAGAAGTTGGGTTGAGAATATTGTGTGATTGTCCGAGGGAAAAGGGAACTTATTGCTGATTCAATAAAAATTGAGCTACTAGAGCGATTGCCTATAGGAATATTTTCCGAACATTTTGGCCGAAATTGTCCAAAACTATCAAATTAAAAAGCAGGTGTTCCATAACTTGTGAACATCTTGTTGATTTCCAAACTTCATGCTGTTTTCCTCTAGCTCAGACCTTGTCAAGTGGTCTTCTTAAAGATTGTAAAAACAATGTTTGAGGGTGTTAACTATTGGACTAAAATATAATTTAGGTTCTTTATAAACACAAAAAATGAACTGAACCTTTACCGTTGAAAATTCAAATTCTAATTTTTCGACCCCAATTGACAACAGTTGCCGGCCTATGCACTGAGATCCTTTTCCCTTCACGGTTCGTTTGAGTAAAAGTTATATGAAACTTTCTATCACTCAAAAAGTCTTTTCGGATTCGAAAAGTAGAGTGAAAATGGAGTCTATCTAGCTAAAAATGAAAATAGGTTGTTCGAGCTCCTGGAGAAATATATCGTTTTTTGTATTTTTTAGGGCTTATTAGAGGGTGATACAATAATTGAATCAAATTTCGTCAATGTTCCTGTTTTAATTTCTAAACTAAGATAGCTATCAAAATGATCTTGGTTTCATTTTAAAGCTGGTGTAATTTGCCATCGATTGAATGGTCTGCAAGCTAATTTCGTCAAAAATTGACAAAGTTATGATAGCTTGAATGAGGGGTATCCAAAATAAGCTTACTTGTTTTCCTTACCGAGTAAGGCTTTTTTTTCTCTTTTTTTTCCCTTCAAGACCAAAAACACTAGAGTCAATCTGTAAAAATTACAGCATTTGTAGTACTCTCAGGTCTGTAACGAGCGTCAGATTTTTAAATTTGACCCATTGGTTCCGGAGAAAATCAATTTTTGGTTTCGGTTCCGTTCTGCTTACAATCAGCTATTGACATACGGCGCAAGACGCGCCACTGACGAGGAGACCAAGTACAGGAAATCAATTTTATCCACTTTAACGATCGATCAAATTTAACATGTAAAGCTCGTTAGAAAGTTCAAAATATGATAGAGAACATTTTACTCTTTGCGTTTTTTCCCTAAGCCCCCATTTTTTGGAGTTATGGGTCATTTTCGGGGCATTTTCAATTCGATGCTGTAAGTGGCCAAATTATTCACATTTCAAAATCTAAAAGTCTCCTGAGAGGAGAGGTCAATACCTTTTTATTGATGTGCCATATGACCCCTGCTGCTTCAAAAATTTGGGGGCCACGACCTCTCAAAAATTTTGGGGCTTTGGAGGGCCATAATTCACAAAAATTTCAAATAGCAAGGGTATGTTTCGACTTCAGATATGGATTCTACGCGAAAAATTACGTAGAATTGATATGGCGCACGGCCTGTTTGCTCCAAATTACTAGAGAACCCCATTTCTCCATAAAAGGCCGGGTATTTTTGGAGAAAATAAGGGGCACAAAATACCTGAATCAAACAGGATGTGCGCCATCTACGTTACTTTTGACGTAAAATCCATATCTGAAGTCAAAACATACCCTTGCTATGATGATATGGCGCACATCCTGTTTGATTCAGGTATTTTGTGCCCCTTATTTTCTCCAAAAATACCCGGCCTTTTATGGAGAAATGGGGTTCTCTAGTAATTTGGAGCAAACAGGCCATGCGCCATATCAATTCTACGTAATTTTTCGCGTAGAATCCATATCTGAAGTCGAAACATACCCTTGCTATTTGAAATTTTTGTGAATTATGGCCCTCCAAAGCCCCAAAATTTTTGAGAGGTCGTGGCCCCCAAATTTTTGAAGCAGCAGGGGTCATATGGCACATCAATAAAAAGGTATTGACCTCTCCTCTCAGGAGACTTTTAGATTTTGAAATGTGAATAATTTGGCCACTTACAGCATCGAATTGAAAATGCCCCGAAAATGACCCATAACTCCAAAAAATGGGGGCTTAGGGAAAAAACGCAAAGAGTAAAATGTTCTCTATCATATTTTGAACTTTCTAACGAGCTTTACATGTTAAATTTGATCGATCGTTAAAGTGGATAAAATTGATTTCCTGTACTTGGTCTCCTCGTCAGTGGCGTGTCTTGCGCCGTATGTCAATAGCTGATTGTAAGCAGAACGGAACCGAAACCAAAAATTGATTTTCTCCGGAACCAATGGGTCAAATTTAAAAATCTGACGCTCGTTACAGACCTGAGAGTACTACAAATGCTGTAATTTTTACAGATTGACTCTAGTGTTTTTGGTCTTGAAGGGAAAAAAAAGAAGAAAAAAAAGCCTTACTCGGTAAGGAAAACAAGTAAGCTTATTTTGGATACCCCTCATTCAAGCTATCATAACTTTGTCAATTTTTGACAAAATTAGCTTGCAGACCATTCAATCGACGGCAAATTACACCAGCTTTAAAATGAAACCAAGATCATTTTGATAGCTATCTTAGTTTAGAAATTAAAACAGGAACATTGACGAAATTTGATTCAATTTTTGTATCACCCTCTAATAAGCCCTAAAAAATACAAAAAACGTTATATTTCTCCAGGAGCTCGAACAACCTATTTTCATTTATAGCTAGATAGACTCCATTTTCACTCTACTTTTCGAATCTGAAAAGACTTTTTGAGTGATAGAAAGTTTCATATAACTTTTACTCAAACGAACCGTGCCTTGGATGGTCACACATTAGCGGGTCTGCAGGCCGATGATTGAAATTGATAGACAAAGCTAAAGACAAAGAAGACAAAATGAGGGCTCCTATTGGTGGAAAGCAGGTAGTTGCAATGGACAAAAAAGGTAGATGATAGACCAACTAAGGGCCACCCACGAGAGACTCTACAGTTAGTCCAACATTTTTTCTCGTAGTCTATAGGAACCACTCATTTCAACTGATAGGATCGGCTCCATAATCCCTGTCTTCTTTGTCTACGGCTTTATCTATTAATTTCAACAACCAGCCCACAGGAATACTAAATTGCTGTTTCAATTGTGAGGTTTGTAATTCTTATCTAAACCTTGCTTACAATTCAGAGGGAGCAAATTGTAGATTTTTAAATTTGACCAATGGATTTTTACTGAGAGCATTAAACATGTGGTAAGCACATCTGCCCATGGCAGATGCCATTCTCTCATCTAGCCGATCTCTATCACTTATTTTTTATACATTTGTTGTAAATAGTTCCAATAACAGGACGAAAAATGTGTCTTCTGACTGCGCTTTAGATTAGAAGGCATATTCAATGTAGAAGCACATGCATTTAGCCATATCCTGATTATAAAATGAGCTTTGTGCAAATTAAACTTCAAGTTAGGCGTGAAATATAAAAATAGGGCTAATTGAGCTAATGATGGCTGAACAGAATTGACAAAAATTAGACTAATATTTGCACTTGCATCACAGTTGAGCAGTGCATTGCTCTAAAGTCAAAGTCAATGGCAGTGATCGGTAAGGGTATTTTGGGTATTCTTTTACATTGCTTATTAAAAAGAGTCAAGGGTTAGACCACTGAACAAATTTAAAATAGATGGATTAAAATAAATCTAAATCTTTAAGTAGATTTTTAAATAAAACAACCACTCGGGTTAGCCAATTAGGTGCACAATATATCCCTGGTTTGTGATCCAATGATGAAAATCGAGTTATTGGTGATTGTGGTCAGGTAGAGAGGAATTCATATTCTGTAGAGCTTAAACGCTCTGAGTTGTAAATTGCAAAACTGCATCACCAGAACCCTTCAGGCCATCTCAAAATGCAAATCAAAAAGTCTTTTGTGAATGGCTTAGAGTTATGTATCACTTTAAGTTGAATCAATTAACTCTTTTACATCATGTATTTGGCGACTGCTTGACATTGCAAGCGTATCGGCTAAATTAAAATATTCTAGGATGAGGTTTTATGGCAAAGTAATGGAAAGTTTGCCCAATGATGTAGGTATTAAGCAAAACAATCTGCAGTCTCCTGTATGAAAGAACGTATCTCACCTGTGCTATTTCAGTATTGCTATAATTATTTTATTTTATCATATAAACCCGTCATAAAAGTAAGTATACAAATTTCAAAGACTTTTCTTAAAAGATTGAAGAAATTTCAGAAAAGTTCAACCAATGGTTCTGCTACCAACACATGAAATGAAAGTAGTAAATACTGAAACAGCTCAATTAAAACACGTTTTTTCATGCAGGAGATGACGAATTAATGTCACCCTGATCCTTCTTAGAACTTCTTCATGTCCGTTTTGAGAGTTTCCAATCTCCTTATAAACAAAATGAAAAATAAGATCACTTGCAGGGGGAGAAAAATTAAGGGTATTTGCTAAATTTGCAGAAAGATCAGCATTAAATCTATTGGCTCAAGCTCTGCTAGGTCAAAGTCATAACAGAGAGGGATATAAAATTTAATAAAATGCTCTAAAAACAGGGATAAAATATTTCAACAACGTAAAGATGGGAGTATTTCCGACAATAGTCTTTATATCTACCTGCAATGATAAAATGATAATATTACGATGATTCAGCTTACGGAAATAAAAACAGCATGCTCTAGACATTCAGTAAATTTAAAAGTACTAAATAAATTAATTTAATTAATTTTTATCATTAATTTAACTACAACAAACGAGTTTTATAAGTCTTTGATTCAATTTTTCTAGGTTTCATCCGCTTGGTAATCAAGTATGAATTGATAAGACCTGCATGACAGATGATTTTAAAATATGTATAAACTGTACACACGGTGCGAGATATCTACAACAATAGTTTTTCAAGGTACTTGGTACTTACTAAAACAGTTGAATATAGATTACAAAAAGGTGTAGAGTTGACAAAACCCATGGCTGCCTTTTTTATTTACATTGGTCCATTCTGGTAATTATATTTCTACAAATATGGATACAATCACCATATTTGGATACACAAAAATAAAACCGATAGGAAAAAGATGAAACTCAGTAAACTGAGAGACAGTATTCAAAATCTTGAAAAGCAAAAGAAAAAAAGAGAAAGAGTAAAACTTTGAGAAAATTCAGACATCAAAATTTTTAGGCTAATTTAGCCTATGAAAGGAACATTAGGGTGGAAAAGTTATGGCCATGACAATAGAAAAATTTGTTGTTTTCAATATCAAAGGAGAACTATTGCTACTTGGACAAGAATAAAATAAACTGTCATATATATATATATATATATAGGGTGACATGGGTGGAAATCACCATTGAAAATGCAATTCCTTGAGATTAATTAAGAGGGAAAAATAACCACCAAAATTTCATCGTGAACACATTTCAATATTTATGATTAACTAAATTAGATTTCATTAACAAAAAGAGCATTCGTAATTCGGCAAAAGTGCTGATGGGATACTGAGCTATTGGATTCAATCAGAGCAATGTTGATATTATTATAGCAAAGGTTTATATAAAAAGAGAAAAAAAGTCAACCATGTGATAGGTAATTTTTAGATATTTTCTAATGTTGAGTCTGAAAATGGCGATTATTCAATACGTTTTATATGATGGCGAATGGATGGACAAAGTTGTTACACTGCAGGTTACGAAAGAGCAGGGAAAAATTTTTAGGCATCCTGTACGTATACATATTATGCGTTTTTGGCTGCTGACCTCAAAATGACCTAGATTTTTCCCCATCAATCCACCATTCAATGATCATCAATGCACTAGTTTTTCAGAGAATCAAAGTTTCCCAGAAGAAATCTTAATCACAATATTGCACTGAATTTCTTTTTGCTATTGTGTAGCTGATAAAATCATAAAGCAGTCATTGAATAGAGTCCAGCTCTTGTCTCTCCCTGCAAATACAATCATTTGGTAGCGTGATTACAGATTATTATAAAAATTGTCTATTCTAAAAAAAATTAATTTTAGATCATGCAACTTGGAAAAATGATACATTTATCGGAGACACATTTTTAAATCTATGCTAGAAATTGTGAGCATTTTAGCAGACAGAAGAAGATGAACGGAAGTATGTATCTTCTCTGCTTTGTTTCAATATCTCTACAAACATTTTATTTTTTCATGAGAGGACTGTCAAACCAAGTCTGTTAAATTAAGTGCCTTTTCTCACAAGTGTGAAGAAAAATCACTAGAACTCTCAGGCAAATTCATGAGAAGGTTCTCTTATAAATAAATTCTGGTAAGACATAATGAAACATTGCAATCAAGATATGTTCCTTCCTTCAGGAGACGAGACATGTTTTCTGGAGGCATGGGCAGCACTGAAATCTTTTTTTTCACAGATAGAATGATACATTGCTATTTTTGGTTTACATAATCCTTCTGAGAATATGATGACTACTTTAATCAAATGTCAAAGTGTCTTTGATTTCATCTCAAGCCTCACTTGAATTTCCCTAATTTTTTTCCGACCTACCATTTAAAAATTAGTTTAATAGAGGACTTAAATTAAAGCGGTTTGGGACAACTTAGAAACATAAATTCGATAAAATAAAATAAAATATTTTCAGACTCATCATATACAGTCTTTTAGCGCCATTATTATTTTCTGTATTGGAACAGAAAAAATACGAATACTTCAGTTCTACTCAGGCAGCCATGATTTAGACCGAGAGATACATTTTTCTTTGGCGGATATTTTATCAAACTTAGAAAAAATATCTAACTTGTTTTCCTAAATCTATGAACTATGTATGTGGCAGCGAGAATATCATTTTTAGAGAGACATGATAAGAGAATTTGGCCAGCAAAATAATAAATTTTGAAAATTTCACATCGGAAATTGGATCTTTTTGAGCTTAAAAAAATATCGGTTGGTGTTTTTACCTACATATGATGTTCAACAGGCTTTATTTCTGTCTCTCTCACAATTAGCTGGCATTGTGGTTTTGCTATTGTGATGATAAGAAAATTAATCGTACTGATAATTCACTGAATTTCATTTTCAGATTTTAAATAATGATAGAGATTCGGAAAATCTTCCAGGAGACTGAAACATTACAGAAAATAATGACATTTACAGCAAAAATATGATAGTAACAAGTTCTGATTAAAATATTAAAAAATTGTGATCCAAGAATTCAATAGGGGTTAGTACCATGATGACACAGGAATTTCGTTGAATTTATTCTCTAATTTGGCCATGAAAAATATATATAGTATCTTAAGTTGAGACAAAGAGACCTAGACAAGTAAAAAGGTTAAGCTATTTGAATTGCATCATAGAGGAATACTTCAGACATGCATTATTGTAACATAGCATTCATCAAAAACGAGAGACAAAATTTACCTAGAAAAAATTAATTGCAGCAGGGTTCACCAGAACAAACCAAAAAAGGTTAAACAATAACCAGTTTTCTGTTATATTGCGAAGACATTTTTTTCGGTTTTGTTTCCAAGAAAACAAAATAGAAAAAGTTGCACGATTTTGTTAAAAAAAAAAAATCAACTTTGGAAGCTCAAATTTTGGGGATCACTCTATTAGACAACCAACAACAACTAGTTTTCCATCCATATTATGCAGCAACGAAAATGAAGTTACTTCGGAGAATTTCACAGGTATTAAACTTACAGCATCCAATGTTATAATTAAAAGGAGGAGTAAACCATTGCTGTCAATTATATTAAGCTTAGAATTATGTTTTGAATAATAGAAATTAACAGCCAAGATTCTTGCTGAACCTTTAGACTGACTACGTTAATTGGATTCGCTTGCCTCTATGTCGAAACAAAAAACAACCTTGAGATCATCCATACAACTTTTAAAAAAAGATGATGAACATGAACTACTGGTATGACTGAAAGTGGTTGACGAACAGCTAGTTAAAAAGAAAGTCTTTCCTTTCGTCTGACGACCTTTTCTTTATCACAATTTTGTGTCATGATGGGGTGAACTTAAAATTCAAAGTTGCTCTTACTAGTTGCAACAGCGCAGTTGCTGCAAAATTACAACGTTGTGGGCTATTAAACTACATTTAAAATGCTGGACTATAAAAGGGATACTAAAATAGTACATCGCAAATTTTAAATGCATGACTCACGCATCATGCATGGAGCCGGATCTCAGAAGCTCTCTACAAAGCTTGCTGGGAAGAGACCTGTTCGGCCAGTGCGTTGCTGCGTGCCCTTGTACCAGCCATCATCTCGCTTCTTGTGCACGTAGATGATGTCTCCAACCTGCAGTTCCAGCTCAATTTCGCTATTGGGCGGGTACGGTACAATACAGCGGAATCTGAAACATTAGAGGAAGAACGGTTTACAAAATAGAAAATGGATAAAGAAACATTAAGGTACGGCACTCAAGGACAGCAAGATCGTCGTCATAACAATCTGCCTCAGTAGATCAGCAACAATTACATGTTTATAATGGGGCTCATCGAGCAGTTTGACAACCTGTCTGAACGCGCCTTAAGTTTATCTAACATGCAGCAAAGAGAACAAGACTGATTATAGCATTGTTGTTGATCCTTAATAATTCATATGTACACACCGAGCATACTTCAGAAAAGTTTTTAGCCGGATAAGTGGGGTTAATGACTGATGAAAACTTAAGATCTCAGGTACGAACATTTGCAATTGACAACGGAGACATTAGTACCATTACTTAGAGGAGTATTTTTCGTACAAAATATACCCAAATACATCAAACCAAATGGGAGTTATAAGGATTAAAATTTAACAGTTCAAAAAACGCATTAATAAGAAATAGTTATTGGATGTTTTCCGTTTTCCAGACTTAAATTTTGGACAAAAATATAATTTTACACCTCATATTGGTACAAAGATAAAGCGAACAGCTCTCGTTCATTCTTCAGATGGCTAAGGGGTGATCTTTTTGAAAATTAAATTTCTGATTCTATGACACACATTGCAGTAAAAACAGACGTACAACGGAAAGATAATTTACCTTTCTTTGATTGGAGGAGCAAGTTGCTTGCTCAATTTCCTTGCTGAGTTGGCATCGGCATCTAAAGAACTTGATTTCCTATGGTGAATATTTGAACTAATGGCGTTAGTGCTGCTATCGCCGGTTGATTTGCTAAAAAAAAAAAGGCAGTGAGAAGATTGAAGGTGCAAGACTAAATAATAATTACACACTTATCCTTGACTAGAGTTTTAAAAAAGGTTTGAAGTATAAATTCATCATTGTTATTATTTTCAAATTTTTTAATCTATGTTACATTTTCGAAATTTTTAGAGAATACCACTGAAAAAGGTTGGAAATCAAGCATAACAATAAACAATTTTTGTCACAATTTCATCAACACTGTAACACATGGAAAATTTTCAGGCTTAACTCATATCTGAGATAGTAAACTTTCATACTTTCGTAAATTAAAACTTTTGGTTTTCAAAAAACCATTGAAGTCCATTTACGTCAGATCACATAAAAGTTCAGTGTGTGCTTTATTGAAAAAAAAAAAAAAAAAAAAAAAAAAAAAAAAAAGCTCCTCCTTTTTGCCACATTTTTTTGGGGCCAGTTTCTGAGCATTGAAATTAGATTTGTGAAAAATCAAACTCTGCCTATCAGGCTATCTGCTTGATGTATAAGTCTCTTTAAGATGAGAGATTTGAGCTCCATTAATTTTGATTTTTTTGCAAGCTGTAGGTCTGAATTTGGGGTTTATAATGTAACTTGGTTTCTCTTGTGTGTATGGATTGATTAAAGATTCTCTGAGCAAAACCAACTTCTTCTATGTGAAATTTTGATGAGAAAAAATGCATTGGCAAAGTCATGATTTATACCCTGTCTCATGGTATATAGTGAACTCCTTTCAATCATTCTAATTTTTTGGAGACTGCGGCACTCTTTATGATTATGTATTAGCAAGTTAATATCGCCACTCCCAGCCAAAGTATCACAAACACTACTTATGCTTAGACGCCATGAAGCCAGACATCACAATATTGTTTTAATTTTATCTTTAGGAATTTTGTCCATACTTTTGTAAAATTTCAGGTATTAATTTTGAAGGCAACAGAAGTATGAAGCCAGACATCAGAGTATTGTTTTAATTTTATCTTTAGGAATTTTGCCCATACTTTCGTAAAATTTCAGGTATTAATTTTGAAGGCAAAAGAAGTATCAGGTAAAATTTTCGATTGATTCTGTTCATCACTTCTTCTGAAAAATACTGGACGACTTTGAGTTTGGCAACATAGAGCTCAAGTACACATGGCGCTTGAGATACTTCTGCAGAAGGGTGACGGTATAAGAAATCATCATTGAAGTATGATAAGATTTGATCGGTGAATATGTACTACAGTTTCAGTTGTCTGAGTATTAATTTGGAGATGTTTCCTTTAAAAAACTCACTTAGATTACACCAAACAACAAACTTTAAAAATGCAGTTAGAAGTGCTGGGTAATGCAATTTGTCAATCAAAACAAACATCAAAAGCATTAAAACAAAAAAATAAGAAACCAAAACGCATGGAAAACAAAAAAATAAGCACATACAAAAAGATTGATATCTATGTTGCACCATCCTAAGGTCAATGTGACCCGCTTATTTCAAATTTTCTCTAATTATCGCCGCACCTCAGGAAATTTGCGATTTTTGGTGATTTTGACTTCTATCATCCTCCCTCATAAGGACAAAAGCTGATATCTCACATTGTAAGTGCAGTAATCTCTCGCTATAACGAATCGGCAAGGGGCCAGGCGATTCCTTTGCAAAAGAGAAATTTTCAATATAATGAGTGTCGTTATAGCGAGAGAATACTGTATGAAGTAATGGAAAAATGATTGGACAAACTCAAAATTTTTCAAATAAAGACAGCAGAATAGTTTGATTTCAAGAGCTGACATTTATCCAAAAAAATTTTAAAACGTTTTTTAGCTGAAATATTTCAAAATTTCATGATGTAGTTACATCTTTGAGGCATTTTACCAATTATTAATTCCTGAGGATATTTGGACAATGTATCGACAGTGAAACTGCAGGAATCCACATTTCATTTGTGACGTTGCAGTCGTTTGGTCTTACTTAATTTTTTAAAGGAAAAAATATTCAACAGCATAATTCTTCTCCTAAGTGTGTGAAAAATATATTAAAATTTCAAGCAATAGCGTTGGCTTGCTCTCCTTTGATAAAATAATAAGGCAGTGGAGATTTGGAAACATTGCAAACTAGGTATGTCTTCCTGCAGTTTCACAGCCCATTTGGATTGCATTTTGCAAAAAGGAACTACTAGCATTGCAATGTTGCTAAGATTGTGCAACTTCTTTTGTCTTGGAGGAAAAATCCGATTATCTATTGATAGTTTCTATTTTACTCGCTAAAAACTGTAAATTTAAGACAAAAATTACCATCTAAATTTCATAGTTTTTCACGATTTCCGCAATTTTATTGCAAAAGATGAAGTTGCACAATCTTAGCATCATTGCAATGCTAGTGGTTCCTTTTTGCAAAATGCAATCCATTTAAGAATCTGAAATGAAAGCTCCTTTTGACCCCTTCATTAATTAACGAAGTCCATCTGAGAATTTTTCCTCGACAAGCGACTGTCGAAATTTCTCAGCATCCTATTAAAAAAAATTATAAGAGCAAGCAAGCAACAAAATCAGTGCAGAACATACCTCGGAAAATGATTAAGAACATTGGAGCGTTCTTTCGGTTTAACTCTATGCGAGTTATAGGGAGAGAGCATGCGTGAGGACGAATCAGCTGAAGCTGTGGCAAGCAATTGACTTGGGCAGGAATCAGACCTGGTGAATACAGGGATCGAGCAACACACATCAAAACTAAGCGATATTCTCACAAGGCTAGGGTCCAGGGTTATTTACAAGAATTGGACACATTTAAATCAAAAGAATTTGATGACTCAAGGAAATATCGATGCAAAGTAGTTAAGTAACTCAAAGAGAAATCATGGTTGAAAATAGATTTCCAAAGTCAATGATGGCCATCATAGGTTACTTACTGTGATCAATTTTTAATTTAGATTACTGGGAACTTATGTTACAACAAAAGCAAAATAAAATAATTCAGGATCATACCGGAAGAAAACCGCACCTCAAAGTACACTTTTTCATAAATTTTGTTTTTCACCCCGAACTATAACATCACAGATTTCCAAACTTCAGGGCCTAGATTAAAAGAATAGCCTTTGATTTAACCACTTGATCCACAAAGATTTTAAGAAAACAGTTTCAAATATTCAAAAGGGGTTTGGTTCGAAGCACTGTACTTTTTACATATGCCTTTCTTCCAGCATCGTCCCTAATGGGTCAGTTGCCCTGGTCACAGAATCGTGTTTTGATTCTCGATTCTTGTAGGTTAGCAAAAATAATAAGATCTGTCCATACCGCAACTTTCTACATTCAATATTAACCAAGATATCACCCTTTGAAAAGTCAGGTTTTTGAAGTCATCCACCGTGGCAGTGACACCCTTGGTTTTTCCCTCTTTTGTTTGATCAGTGATGCAGAGGGTGCAACGCAAAACTTCGTTGACTTTAAACGTAAACAAACTGAAGAAACAGACAGATTCGTACTTTAAAGATCTTCTCATCATGAGATAACGTACTCGCCGCGAAGAGATTAGGCGGCCTGTCAGTTCACCTCAGTTTGTTTATGTTTAACGTCGTTGAAGTTTAGCGTTGCGCCCTTTATATCACAATCAAACAAAAGAGAAAGAAACCAAAGGTGTCATTTCCACGGAGGATGACGTCAAAATTCTGACATTTCAAAGGGCGATAACTCGGATAATATTGAACATAGAAAGTTGCGGTTTGGACAGATCTTATTATTTTCAGCTAATCTACAAGAATCAAGCATCAAAACAAGATTCTGTGATCAGCGCAACCGACCCATTGCAATTTTCTTCTTCCTTCTTTTTTTAACAAGTCAAAAAAAAACAATGCATATTATTTACACGCATCTTTATTAGGTAGCAATGCATGCTTTTACAAAGGGAAAAATCTCCTTGACCGAAAAAATGATGCTAAAATGGCTTGACCTCTTATCCAACACTATGTTGTGAAACTGTTACTTCTTTAAGATTTTGGCCTTATTTACTATTTAATACAATGTATAAATTACAGCCTCATTTAGTTCTTACGCAATATCTGGCATAATCATGCTGATGTTTTACTAAAAAATGGGACCTTCGACTTCATTTACACTTTCTAAGACTATGAGTTAAGCTCAACTGGTTTCATTCCATTTGTCCACCACTCGTGAAGCCACGAAATGCATGTCCTTTATCCGGAAACACCGCTTTTACACTTTAATGTTTCATTATTAATGGGCTCATGGCATTCTATTTATCCATTAAATTTTTAGTGCTGTTGACTAATGAAACATAAAATCTTAAAAGTGGTATTTCTGGATAAAAGACATGCCAAAGATCCTCGAACAATGGGGAAAAGGACTGTTCTTGGTTGTAGTACAGTAAGAAAATTGGGGATAAGAGATTCTTGATAACTCAGTTAATATTGATCATTCCCTTTGTTTAAGATACACAAATAGCAAACCACACGGAAAACACGACAAACCACACTTGCCAAAAACACAACCAAACATAAGGCAAAACTAAAAAAACTTGTTCGTGCAAAGACTTACCTAACATGTACATGACGGTGCTGACTAGAAGTGGGAGGAGAGGAGCCATCCTCAAATACAGGATTGTCCATTGAGTAGGACATCGGAGGAGGTGATTTTGATTTTTTCATTATTGTGAACCGCTTCATTAAGCTCACGCTTCGCTTTTCCATTTTCCCTTTACTCTGTTGACCAAAACCAAACACCAATTAAATCACTCAGACTTGGGCAATTTATTACACGACAGAAGAGTTTAATTGTGCGGAAAATCATATTAGTTCAGAGTTAGTGATCACACTGAGAAAATTGGGCAGATGATTCTGACTGTTATACAGCACGAATTATCTGCATTTTTTTAAGTTGCAGCAAGGTGGACGATAGGACAGATTACGCAATCAACGATTTTCAAGATATCTGTAAGAGCTGGGCTCATACAGGGGTGCAAAGATGCCTGATCTCCCAAACCATGGCGAATGTAAGGGAAATCTTGGGTCATGAGTAAAAAGGATGATTTTCTACTCCTTTTTAATTTAAAAATACAGTAAATCCCATGACTCTGCTAATTTTTCTATGAAACAGGTACGGCAGATCATGAAAAACGATTGGCTTTTTTGAACTTAGCAGGAGCTTCAGGTTTCCTTTGAAAATTTGTTTTTTTTCCAGGATTTTTTTTAAATAATTTTCAAGAAGTTGGACATTGTTAAGCTATTAGGAACCTTTCTACATCGATAATTTATGAAAGGTTAATGCACATAGGCTTTTAATGACAGGATCTTGTTCTTTCAAAACTGATTGAACGATCAGATCTTAGCTGTTGACCGATATCTTATTGAGCACTTTGTTAAACTATGAAAACATCTGTGCTTACTGAGTCTTGCAGATAGGCACACAGAGAGCTTTCAAAGGAAAAAGCATACCCTGAGGTTTTTTTTTTTTTTTTTTTTTCTTCTTTGAAAGCGAGGAGAAAACCGAGTTCCGGCAACTACTGCTCGCATGTGCCAGGGACGGGCGGCCAACCCCACCCCTCGACAGTTGCAATCAGCTGACAGGGGGTTCGAGAGAGCCATCCGCCCCCGCACACACGAGATTGAGGCATGCTCGATGGTCAGCAGCGCGCGAGTGGGTTTGGACCCCGACTACAAACCTCTACACCCCCACCAGTCACAAGGACTGGTGGTTCTCCCGGTGAGATATCCCGACCAGACAAGGCAGGCCCGATCGTTCTTCTCGCGGGTATGCAAAGGCGTCGGTGAACATACCACCCGAAAAACCCCTGGCTGCCAGGAAATTGAGCATCAAGGCTACTACTACTGGCTTGTGGTGCGCCCTGGACGGATCCCCACCGAGCAAGCGCCTCCACTCGGCGACAACCCGTCCCCGACGCACCACTACTGACAGACGTCATACCCTGAGGTTCTTGCCGTTAGTAAGAGGAGAAAAAATAATTACCTTATCAAGAGCTTTGGGTGATGTTAGGATGGAACAGTTAGGAGGTCCGATGACAACCATGCCACCCAATGAATTGGCTGCCAAAGTGTTATTTTCAATGGACGACGACACTTTTGGTGTGCCTGCAGAATAAAATTTCAAAGATCATTAGGTTCTATGGAGGGAGATAGAACTACTTAAAAAACAATGAACTGAAAACTGAAAGTGGTAAAGCCAGTTGTCGAACTTTGAAAACTCATTAGTTGACTCATTTATTTTAATGGTGGACAATTGTTTTGGAGCTTCGCTTCATCCTCATATCACACAGTCATTAAATTCACGAGACAAAACATTAAACAAAACAACCAGTCAAAATCAAGTTAAAAACGGAAGGAAGAAATTGTGGAATTTTTCGAGTTTTTAAACTGGAATGTTTTTAAAGTAATAATGGTGCAAAAATAAAAGTCTCTAAAAATTTGATATTCTTCAATGGAATAAAGGGGATCAGTGTCAGGGGAATAGATTTTGAAGAGGCGAGTAGAAAAACGCTCCTACTTTAATGCTTGACCGATCTCAAAATTAACCATTTTCTTGCTATGTTTGATGGTTTCAGGGAATTTTCGGATGATCAGTTGGGACAAACTTTCCCATTACGTATGTGTCCTGATTAAGTGGAGTTGACTGCATTGTACTTGAGCAGTATCAGTTGGCACGTAACGATAAAAAACTTACCCGAGGAGGAAGATACAGTGGTGAGGGGGGTGTGAGAGGCATCGGAATGCCATAAGGTCGGAATGGAAGTGGTCGGAGGAGTTGGACTCAAGCACCGTGGCGGTAACTCTGGTGGAGTTGAGGTTGACGTTATTACACTACAACCTGAAATCAGAAAAAAATTTTCATTCAAAATGCGCCTGTTCCACAAATTTTTTTATTCATTTTTGGTAAAGTACGTAAAAACTAACAAACTAAACAGGGTGTCAAGTATTTTTTAATTTTGAAAAATCCTGATTTTTCCTAATATTTTATAAAAAATTCCTGATTTTTTCATTTTGAAAATTCCTGATATTTTCCTTATTTTTCTCGACTCTTGGCACGGTGGGCAAAAAACAGTAAGACTTTCTCTCCTGAGGAGATTTGCGTAAGAAAAATTCCTGATAAAACGTCCGATTTTTCCGATATTTTCCTGATCGGCCAAAATTCCTGATATTTTCCGGTTTTTCCTGATGCTAGACACTCTACTAAAGAAAAAGGAATGCCAAGCAGGGCTGGATTTTTCGTTTGAGACAGGTTTGAATTTTTAATGACTTCATCAACAATAATTATTGCTCTATTGAGCTCCCAGAAACTTGAATGTCAAGAAAGTCTTAAAATTACAAACAACAGCTGAGAATGGACTAACGCACAATACCACAAAAAAATCAAGCCACAAAATGTCCGTATGGTTGCTTTTTAACTAATCAGAACCCTTCACAGCCCCATGGTAAACAAAGGGTAAATGATGTAGACCAAAGACAAAAACAACAAGCTAAAACCAGTGGCAAGACTGATTGGATTACCTTGTGGTTTTCCATTGTGGGTAGACGTCCTGGTATAACTCACGCCTGTTCGAGGTGCAACTGTACTTGGAGTTACGACAACTTGATTCCGACCAAGCCCTCGCAGTTGCGCTTGCAAAGCAGGTAATGACCTGAAAAGAGAAAGTGAACTTTAGAAAGTGTGAGACATGACAATTTGATGTAGCCTTTAATTTGGTTCAACAGGACAAATACATTGAAAAATAGTACGAATTTTTATTTCTACTGCTTCACCTTTTTTTTTGTTAGAGAGCCGAAGAAAAATCAAATACACCGGCACATTAAATACACTTTTAGTTGTATCCCTTCATTTGTTAAATGAGTCAGTTCCTCGGTCAGTAGAACATTCAGTGCAAGTTTCAAGGTATAAAGTTGGCTGGTTTTTCTTGGAAAAAATAAAGAAAGAGCAGAAATTTTGAAACACCCCAATGGACATAGATATGCGGCAATGTGGCCATTGACATCATTTGCAAATGCTCATGCTGTAATTTTAGAGAGGAGCCTTGTCAATGGGTCGGTTGCCTTGTTCACAGAATCATGTTTGGATGCTTGATCCTTGTAAATCAGCTAAAACTAATAAGGTCTGTCCAAACAGCAACTTTCTATGTTCCATATTAACCAAGATATCACACTTTGAAAAATTTGGTTTATGATGTCATCCACCACAGTAGTGACACCCTTGTGGTTTCTTCCACCTTGCTTTCATTAATCAGAGAGACACACATTTGCACTGGTTACTCGACAGGAAGAAACAAAGGGCTTCACTATCGCAGTGGATAACGTCAGAAACCGAATTTTTCAAAGTGCAAAATCTCAGTTAATATTGAATGAAGAAAGTTGGACGGATTTTTATATTTTTAGCTAAAATACTGGAATCACGCATCAAAAAACGATTCTGTGACCAGCGCAACTTACTCATCATTGCACTACAACTCTGCAAAATTCATTATTTATGTGACTTCACAACATGCAAATACTCACTTGGCAGGAGCGACATAATTTCCTGGAAACACGCCACTTTTTTGAGTACGGTTTGACGTCCCTTTGTACCACCCATCTTGACACCTTTCAGTAACAGTATACATGTTACCTTTCCGCAGCTCAAGTTCATCCTCTTTCTGCGGTTTATAAGGAAACAATGCTATGTACCTACGAAAACACAAGAATGTCAACAGTTTTAGTTCAAGAGGTCTAAAAAACAAAACAGCTACAACAGTGTGATATTTAACTCTACTTTTATAATGTATTTAAGTTACCTCCAAATCCTAAAATCCTACGATCCATGTAAACATAACCTCGGATCGATTTTTATTTTTTTTTGTGTGATTTTGACATACTTTCTTTTTCCTTGGAATATGGTAAGTTGCAACCTCATAGGGCGAAATTAAGAGACCACTACAAAAAAGTATTCCTCGGTGAGCAGGTAGAATGAAAATGAATGCCATAAAACTTCAATTCAACAAACATGCATATGACAATTTTTTTGAAGCAGCAAATTTTTTCCTGGTCCCAAAAAACTTTTACATTTTAAATTTGAACTAACTTCTATTTGGTCACTTTCGATTTCATGAAGGGTTCTTTCAGCTTCAGCACTGTTGTTTCCTGCTAAAGGAGCATAAATTTACTAAATTCATGAGGACTCTCGCACGCAGAATTTAATTTCACTATCGAAAAGAACTTGCCGGAAAAAGCTTTAAACTTACGGAGCAGGTAGAAATAGTGAATGGTGCGCCACATCTGTGCTGGTTGATCTGCGATGACGGTGGCTATTATGCCTGTTCAGTCCTGAAGAATTAGTCTGAAAAAATTTGTCAAAATTAATTTTATTTCACCAATGCATTGAAACTATGAATTAAAAATCAAATTAAAATAGGCTCATAGAAATACCAGAGTCTACTAAAGTAAAATCGAGCACTAAACTGATTTCGGTACATTTTAGGGTAGAAGAATTTTCATATGCTCTAACTTTATATAATTTTCACTTATGATTTAATTTTGGAATTTATTTTAAATTAATTTTAATTTCCGTATTTTTTACATGTTTCGCGTAAAATTTTGTTAGGAAAACATGTGCTGTACTATTTGATGCCTCATTCTGTCTGGCGGTCCAACTTCAAATATGTGACAAAAGGAGAGCGTTTTTCTTACAAAAACTGAATCAGGAGCTGAAGTCCTCTTTAATTTCAACAGTTTATTATTCAACATATCTTACTACTCAGTTTAGAGACAGAAAATATTAGTGTTATTTACCTGGTGGGTTGACTGTCTCAATTCTAAAGCATTTTCTTGTGGTGAGCTGACTGGATCTCTAAGAACTTCAGCAGAATGTCTGTAAGAAAGAATGAAAACAGTTTGTACCCTTCAAAGCAAACAGTAGAATGCACTTTTTCTTCTATCTTGAACAAAAAAGACCTAATCATGAAAGAAAAAAATGTTTTTCACAGTACATAAGTGTCCACATTATTCTAAATTGAGTACCCTACTTGCAAGGGAAGTGGAAATATAATGACCAAAACAATAAAATTTAAAAAATTATCGATTATGGTAATGTTGAAATAGACTCTGCGCAGTTTTTCTGGAAATGCATTTTTTTGTCTTCAACATACATCAAGTTGCTTGTTAGTAACCATTGATTTCAGATTAAAATTCGAAGTACTGCAACTGTAAAGCTACAATAGTACTGGGAATTTTCCTGGTGTGAGCAATCACAAAATGTGAACAGAAAACTTACTTATTAAGCAGTTCTACAAATCACACCGTTTCTATAAACACTGAAACAAATTTCAAGCCTGCAATGCTTCCTTGAGTAACTTTCTGATTAAATTTTAAATTTCAGTCCAAAATTTACCTTTGATTAGGGTAGTGCTGGGGTGTAAGCTGGGAAGAGAATGCAGTGAAACTGTGCCTATTGATTGGTGATCGATGAGTTGGGGTCGAGTCGCTCGAGGAAGGCGATGTGTTGGGTGAGGAAGAGTTCGACGATGTGGTATTCGGAGTCGTGGTCGTTGAGGAACAGGAGGATGGTGATGATGGGGACGCCAAATCAGACGCTCCTTGCGTGGGCAACACGGAAGGCAATGAAGTTGGCGTTGCCTGCAAAAAAAAAAGCCAAAAAAATCAGCCAAGGCTTTTCATAATAATTCAGTAGACTCAAAGATGAAACAACAGCATCATGTCAAAGTACAGTTAGCTTCAACAGCTCTAAATGTAAATCTCATTTTTACGACTGTAAATCCTTGGTATTACGAACCTCAAAACATTCCTAAGTCAGTGACTCAGCAAAAAATCACACTATGTCGGGTTTCTGAAGTGCAGTAGGTATAGAGCTTACCCCTTGCTTGGGTGATCTTGGATTCATTTCCTGGTTGGGCAATCCTACTTTGCTACTCTCCGGTGAGGGTTGCTGAGTAGGAATTGAGAGGGAGTTTGATTTAAGGGTAAGATCAGTCCTTACGCTCATTAGAAGTATTTTAATCTGCCATTCTTATGGAAAAATTTCTGTATTGTAATGAAACTTAGTGTCCTCCTCTGACACAGAATTGAACTAAAGTACTCCTAACTAGAGGACGCTACGAAGTATTCTATCAAAATTAGACTTTTCCACCCATCCTATCTTAGTGGGCTAATGTCTTTTTCCCAATGGACAGTTTCATTTGTGGAGAGAAACAATTTATTCTTGGTCAACAGGTTGCTTTGCATGGTGTTCTGGGTACATCTTTCCCCTGGCGCCACAGCAGTTCCCCCTCCCCCCAAAAACAGAGACTCAGTGGTGCTTTCTCCCGCCTAGGGCTAGGCTGGTCAAGAGCCTTAAGCGTTTATGTAGCGCTGATGAGAGCTGACCTCACAGGAGCTTAGCAACAAAAGCGGTCGCATCGACTGGAAAACGGTGAAACGACTGGCAGAGCCCTGCAATGCAGGTCAATACAACCGACTTGGCAGGCAACGTTTCAAAGTAATTCAATGATCAAGAAAACTCACCGAGTGGGATACGTGAGACTGTTGGACTACAGACAGCGACGGAAACTGATTGATGAGAGGCGTCCAACTTTGGTGAGTCTCCGTTGGGATAAGTGGCGTCACATCCTCTGAAGTTGGTGTCGGAGGGGCTATTCGTGAGGGGCCTGGCTGAGCACTGTAAAAAACACCTCATTAATGATGGTAGAAAGACACAGCGAGATTTATCTAAAACCTGCAAAATTTCTTGATAAAACTGCTTTATTCTCAAATTTTATCTCTCTGTATGGAACACTGAAGGTTACTTCACTCTGATTACAAATTGAGAGTTGCAATTTACAGAAATAGGACACTAGACAAGGTCTGTACTATAAGAAAACGAATGTTTTATCAAATTGTTAATCGAATGTTTTAAGGTTGTTATGTTGTGTTTAGGCTTTTGCTTTATCTTTGAAATCTCATGTAGACATCGATTTACACAAGGAGAAATTCGAAAATCGACTTCTAAACAAGATTTTGTCGAGTATTTTTAACACAGATCAAATGAAAGTTGGATTATACAAATGATGTCATTTGAATTTTTGCTATTTAACCAGTGTTAACTGGAAACACTCAAATCTTTTCAGAGTTTATTCCTAGATTTTGTGTTGCATGATTTGTTTCCCTTGTGAAATTTTGCAGGAAAAAACATGTCACATAGCGCTTTTATTCATACCTTGTACATGCCTATTAAGGAAAAGCGTAAGGCTTGTGTCTATCAGATGTTTAGTTCCTCTTGGTTAAAGTAGGGTTGTCAAATGTTCAATAACGCCAGCTATTCTTCACAATACGGCTTTTCTGTGTCATTGAAATCTCCTTACTTTCAACATTTACAACCCTCCACTTAGCGACAGTTCTATTTTGATGTTATGATTTTAAGCTACATTCTCAGATTCATTCATTATCCATTTGCCTTGATCTATTGCAAGATTGGCCATTTGTTACTTGTGGATGAAACTTTAATGCGGGGTCCTTGTGGTCTCATAATCCTCCAAATTTTGGAGAGCATATGGGTAAAAATAGAAGCATAAAACTAAAAGAGGAGAGAGTAAGTAAAATGAAAAAGTAGAATTGTTTGTCTTTACTTAAAGTTTAACCCAGGATTTTACAATGAAAAAATCTCATGTGTACTTACTTCGATGAGAGTTTCATCAGTGAGCGGGCGACTGAGTTCATTTCAACAAAGGAGATTGGGAAAATTCCGATTCGACTTCCTAGTTTTCCTTCTGCCCAGTTCTCATCCACTCTCCGTATCACAGTGATGACTTCACCCTGAAAGCAAATAAAAAGGATTTATCACTACAGAAATTCTAAGAGTGTTTGTTTCATGATTTATGCTCTAGTTCACCACAACTGTGGACTTTTGCGCTTAATTATTTGAGACTTGCAATAACAGGCCTAATATACGAAAATTCTTATTCTTGAAAAAGCGCAGAAAAACCAATTAAGTTATACTTAACAAGGGCAATGAAGATTCATAATTATACTTGTATGAAGAAAATAGGTATAGCAGATACCTAATCCAGGGTTCAAACAGTTGCTTCCTTCATTTCTGTTTATTACAAAAAAGAGATATTGCATGAAATTCACTTTAATAACACGGGAGATAAGCAATACTTCCGGCGGATTTCTCACATTATGAGAAATTACACGCCTGTCATCTCAGTATCTCGCAAAATGTGCTATTTTTCCAGCAATTTTGTACCAAAAAAATGAGAAATAACGCAATTGATAAATATTTTATGAGTGAAGAGTACAGATAAATTTGAGCATATCCTTTACCTTGCTGAACGTTAGACAGCCTTCTTCATCATCACTCCGGCGAAAATCAAAGAGAGCTTTACACTGTGGATTATGCATTGGTAAGGGTATTAATACCTGCAACAAACACGAACAGGTTTCTTTTAATACAAAAAGAAGGTAAAAATTAAAAGAAAATTTTTTATAAAAACTTGAAAGACGGCTAGTTAATTAGCATGTAAGGCAGCAGAGTCTTCATGTAACATTTTACAGTTGCACATAATTGAAGTGCTGGAACTTGCATTCTATCCTTAGGTTCTTTAACATTGTGTTAGACGAACTTGGATGTTCTTACAAGATTTGAAGACCTGATTTCTTGGTGGCATACTGATGAATTTAGTCTTTGAACTTGGTAAAATAAAGTTAAAACTGGATCCCAGTGTCTAAAGATTCAGCAGGGAAAAAATCCCTGACTTTTTCAGATTTTTCTGGGTCCAAAATGTATAAAATTCCCTGACTTTTAACCCAAAAAAAAAAAAAAAAAAAAAAAAAAAAAAGCTCCAAGAGCTGAAAATGAAACGTTTTCGGCATCAATTTTGCTACACATGACAGAAACACGTGAACCTTTTTTCTTAAAGATTCAATAAAATAATGTACTTAGCAAGGCCTTATTCAAACCCATCCCTCTTTTTCCTTTTCTGAGTGTCACTCAGAACATTGAGCCCGGACCCCAGACTGCGACTGATTGTGTGGAAAGCGCTACTGTTTTTTCAAGTTTTACAATTTTCCAAATTTTCCGTCTTTTTCATAAAATTCCATGTTTTCTAGACTTGCAGATACCCTGTGGATGTATAAGTGGTTCAAAAATATCTTATACGAGATCGAATGGAGGAGGTCCACTTACATTGACGTAACTTAAAGGAAAAACACCAGAGGTGCCACCACAATCTCCTTGGCACCACTCCGAGTCAATTTTCTTTCGAAGAAGGATGACATCTCCTTTCTTGAAGCTTAAATATCTGAAACAGACGATGAAACACATTATTTCCAATTTAAATACTGAATTGACGAGTGAGACAGTAATTTAGGCAGTAAAAAGACAAGTTGCTTGTTATTTAATTCATAGAATTTTGAACATCTTTGGAGCTTGGCAAGACCATTACTATATGGTGCAGAACTGAAAACATCACCCTCTTTAACTTTCTCCCCCTTTCAATTTTGTTGGAGGAAAATCAACACGGAAATTGTAATCCGTGAAAATAGTACACATGCATAATTTGCTATCATGCGTTAAATTCAGACTTAACAAGAATATGTTAATTCAATGGCTTTGTTCGAAGAACCACAAAAGAATTGAAAAATAAAAACAGAGTAATATAACTCACGATATAGTTTCATAATATTTTCTATCACAAATTTTATTAGTGTGATCTAAAGCATCCTTAGCGCAACTCAGGGTGAACTTGAGTTGCAATGCTGATGCCAGAGATCGAGCTGGCAAAATGTATCTGCCACATGGGAAAAAATTAAATTCATGTGACTAACATTACACTGTATTTAGTCCTGTAAACTCACTGCATGAAGTAGAAGAAGCGAAAATGGAATAATTTTAGAATCTTCATTCAAATTTTTTATGCCATTTTCACCTTCATCAAATTTCACTCCTGAGCTTTGAATAAGTTCAAAATCATAGGTGACTCATTTTTTTAAAAGATATTGTTTTCTCTTTTGTCAGAAAATATGTCTACTTTTGAAGTTGCAAACTTTAAACTTACCCAGGTTCTGAAGAGGAGTAATCGTACATGGCTCGGGCGTGGGGTTGATTTGGCAAAAATAAAACCTGAAAATAATAAGAATAAGAGTAAATTTAAAGTGGGACATTTATTCAAAATGATTTCTCAACTTAATAAATTGGTAACGTTTTTACAATTTGATTCTGAGTGTCATTAAGTATACTGCCTTCACTGGTTATCTTAGAACAATTGAAGCAAAATTCTTTGTTTTATAATCTCTCCCTACACTATATTTTTTAGAGAAGACTAAAATATGTATTCCTGCAGTTCCACTATTACACTGAGAATTTTAAACCACTTTTAGGTGAGTTGATATATATAATAGAAATTTCGGAACATGCAATGCCGCATTTAATATTAAGTATTAACCACTATTCCAGCAAAGTTACACTTCATCCAGTCACTCCAGTTCCTCTTTCATTAAAGAACACAGAGTCACAGGCTTTCAAAGGAAATTTCCAGTGGAAATCTTAAAAATTGGCAACCTCCCACAAAGCTGCTAATGACAGGGGCTTGAGTCCATCATCAAGTCCTCCAGATCATCTAATGACTGGAATGATACACTTCCCACACACCAATTCACTTTCGATTGGATGCCTTTATACTGTTGCCATATTGCATCTGGCTTGGCACATTGCAGAGGCTTCAAGTAGCAGAGATAGACTAGGTACATTTCAAAAGTCAATCAGGAGAGGCAAATTTGCATCTTATGAAATTTCACAACTGTTAGTATGCACAAAAGAGCTTTTGAAGCAGGAAACTAACAGATTATCTCTTGCTAGCACCCAACAAATATTAAGTTTTGGAGATTACTGGAAGTGCTGCATGAATTGAATTATGAATCGGAAAAAATTAACTAAAATCAGCTTTACTGAATTTCAAGTTGTCTAAGTTTTGCTTTTTATAGTAAAACTAAGCGGTACAATGTCTTAAAGACTTTATAAGAGTATTTCCTAAAATAGGGCTTTTCCTTGTCCTAGAATATTAGACTTACCGGTTTTGTATTGACATACGTCCTAGCCTGTTCCGAAGAGGCATGAAACGGAGTTAACTTGGAGGAAGCTTGCATTGGTTGTGACGGAGAGGAGTGTACCGATGAAGTCATTATAAGAGAATTATTACTAACTGCTGACGGGACAAATCTGAAACAAACATTTACTCAAATTAATTATTTTATTCGATGAAGTGATGAAAAAAGGTATCAAAAACTTAATCTGTTTTGTGAGAATAATGAACACATTTCTTCTTTGTTGTCCAACAATACATTTTTATTTAAATTAAAAGAAAGACAAGTTTTGGATATCATTCACAAACAATCAATAAAACTTGTTATAAACTTGTCTCAACTGTAAGTAATGATTAAATAATTTACACTTCTGCAATTGCAGAGCTACATGAGGGAGCAGCATGGGACAACTGAATCATTTTCTGAACTTCTTGAAAGCGGGAAAATTCATCAAGAGCTTGGTGTAAAAACTAATTTTCTAATGTACTGTATCTTGTTAAACCAATAGTATGACATATTTAGAAAGAGTTACTTAAGAACTGAATGTGCGACTTAACTTAACTAAGTAGGTAGAAACTGAGTAACGAACGGCTCCTCCTGCCCCTAAAACAGGATCACTGTCAGATCTTCTTTGCAAACTACATAATTGAATGGAAGAAAACTTGAGAGCTCATAGGCATAAGATATAGTATAATTTTCTTCGACTATAATAAGAATATTTGTTACTTACCTGTGATTTGTGGGTGTGGACGGCCCGAGAGAATTTCGCTTCGGTCGTGTACCATTGGCATTTTTCATGCCCTCAAGAATCCGCATTAGTAAAACATTGGGTGGCAACTCCTCGATCTTGCAGTCCACTAAGACTCGGCACTCCGGGCATCGCAACTCCTTGTGAGATGAATATATCTCTTCCAGGCATTTTCGACAAAATGTGTGCTGGCAAGGGAGTACCTTGCTTGATGTGTCCAGCCGCTCCAAGCAGACTGAACACTCAAGAAGGTCGTTGAGCGTGCACTCGTCCATTGCTCACAGCACTTCAAGATGGATCTTGTTCAGTCTCATTTTGGAGATGGAGTGTCTGCAACAGAATTTACAAAATTAGAGGAAAAAATACGGACCAAGAAAATGAAAATCTTTAGAGGAAAAAATACGGACCAAGAAAATGAAAATCTATCTCAATTACTGATGAAATACTTAGTTTGCATAGGTAAGGTTTGGTTATTTGACTTGCCTCAGTGCAAGTTAAATGTTGACTTGATCATTTCCAAGCATTTCTCTGATAAGAATTTCAGGGTTGGACTCAAAATTACCCAATTATTAAACTTGGCGAAATGAAAGTATAATATCTTCACCTTCCCGCCAAAGTATCACTGGCGCCATGAGACGTTTCGAAATTTCCGCCACCATTTTACTTTTTTGCAGAGAAATTGTTGGTTGAATCTGTTTGAAAATTTCACTGAATTACAGCAGCACAAAAAAATTCAGTGAGATTTTCGGACAGCTTCGTTGACCAATTTCTCAGTAAAAAATAAAATGGCGGCAGAAATTTTTAAACGCCCCATGGCACTTGTGAAACTTTGGCCGGAAGGTGACGATATATGGATCGATGGCAGTAAGGAACACAAATACATGAGCCCTTAAGACATCTAGGCATCACCAAACCATTTCTTATGCACTGCTTTCACAGGAATACATGGATTTCAAAAGTAAAAAAGACCTCGGTTCAAATCTGTTTTCGATTAAATTTTAATCTATCAAAAACGTAGAGAGCCTGATTAAATTAGCTGCTATTTGACAGGGAAAAGCTAAGTATCAATATTACATTTCGCATTGACTAGACTACAAATATCCTCAGTGAGTCTTAGAGAGAGACAGAGTAGGATCTCAGACAGTGATTTCTGAGAAAAGGGGCTAGGCTGAGTGAGTGGGGAGTATTAAATACTTAAAATCACCATCATTATAGCAAATAGGTTTGGCGCAAGAAAGGACAGTCATACATTATAGCTAGGTAGTTTGAATCACAAATGAAATAACAGTCACAGTGGTTAACGGAATCCAAGTTAAGTGCTCGGTGTTAGATTGTGCCTCCAAACACGCAACAACAGAGAAGAGCATTCAAAACTAATCGTAATTCTAAACCCCATGCCCAAAGCCGATGCTGATGAGCTGCTAATATTATAATCTCTACTTCAAATAGGTAAGCAGTTATTTACTTCCGGAGGAAGATTCAAAAGATCAAAGTACAGAGTTGGGCGGATTATCAAACGAGAATCGTAATCACTTTCGGCCATGTCCTTTGAACCTTTGAAAGCTAACCTCACTTGGACAAACTGCCCACAGGATTACGGTCAAATTAGAGGCAAGCAATTTTCAAACAGATTGCAAAGTGTCCAGTTAATTGCGCGACGAAAAGGACTGAATATATTTGAATGAAGTATACAAATTATTCAGAAATCTTACTTGGGTTAGTAACAACAAAGGCAGGAAACGGACTGGTTACGCCTGCCTTCTTGTGTGGTATGAGTTGCCTAGTAACATCTTACTTTTTGAATTGCTCCAACAGAAAAACACGGCACTAAGATTGCGAGGGATTTCGAGGAACAATGCGAATCGTACTATAAACAACGAAAGATACACTAAAAGCTAAACTAAGTTGATTTTTACAGAAAAACGACATAGCAACTTATGACTATCACGAATGCAATGCACTTGCAGTGCAGTTAGCTGAGTTAGCTGAGTTAGCTTTACAAACGGACCACACCGCACTCTAGTATCCGATTCGTGATTCGATGAATTGGCCACTGTTGCCGCGTTGTGTATTGTTCATTCATTCGCATTCTTTTGTGATTAGCTTGATTAGTTCAACATTTTTTTTATTCATCATAACATTGATCACTGTATCCAGGTAATGATATTCTGAGCGAACCTTTTTCGAACTTCTCACTTAAATGTATACGCAAACGGAGCGAATGACAAAACCTATGGATCGGAAACACACAAGATCACACTGATCAAACGAATTTCCTGCCGATTTTGAACATTCCACCTGATAGCTCCGCGCAAGCCCACGAACCCTACTAGTTCACATCGGATTTTTGAACTTTCCGCATAGCTTTTGCTCAGCAACAGAGAGATGAGAAATCGAGCTTTGCATTTGACGGGGAAGGGGGGGGGAAGCGATCATTCCCATTAATTTCAGGGCCTTTCGGAACAATATTTTAGAGTTGGTCCCGTTGGCGACTCGTACCTAGTTGTAAACGCAATGATGACTCTAACGAAAGAGGTTTCTTTTAATAAGCACGGAAAAAATGAAATCGCAGATTAAACAATTTTGTAGTTTAAAATAGTTTCTGACATGTTTCGATGTAGATTTTACAATAAAAAATGCTAATTTAACCACCCCCTGATTGAATTAACTTTCCACTGTTGTAAAAAGTAAAAAGTAGGTACATTTGAAATATGCTGGACTTATTTTTTAACAATTTACTTAATTGTTAAATCAGCAATCCATTATTTTCCGTGAGTATTATTGTTTTACGGCAAAAATCTTCTGCTACGATATAAAATCATGAGAATGACGCGTAACGCATAACGCTTTAGGTAGGAGGCTCTTCGTGCAAGGTTGGCCTGCGAAGCGGTCAGGGGGCTTATCCCTAGCGAAGTTAAATCATTTCGAAGGATTTAATTATGCTGATATTGCTGGGAGGTGCATTTTAATTACTTGGAGGTATATGATTGAAATTTAGCACTTAAATGGAAAAAGATTTTAAAAAAATAATGATGAATAAAAAATGCCTAAATAGAATGAAAAAAAAATGAAGTTAGGTAAAAAATAAAAGACGAAAAATGACACTTTGCGTAGAGCCAACACACGATTAATAGGGAGACTAGAGCCCGTTTCAGATTACTTTTCCTCCTATTACCTACTGTGTTCGTGGGATGGGCGATTCCTTATCCCGCGCAAATAGCGAAAGAGCAGGAAAAGTGATCTGAAACGGCTTTACAGTATCTCAAGGTGGTTGTAGTATGATGAGGATTGATGTAGGATTGATAGGGCTCTACGTTCAAAGGTCTCCTCCAAAATATTCAACACGGGTTCGTTCATAAAATATGTAACGCTAAAAATCGGATTCGTTCATCCTCCTCTCCCGTAACGCATCCGTAACGCAGGTTTATACCTCTCCCAGAAAAAAAGGAGCGATTTCCTCCCCCAAAAGCAAAGAAATCATTAGTAACTTTTCTTTACTTAGTAGCTTTTCCCGTGCTTTATTATTAGTGAAAAAATGAGAATGATGAAAGAAAAGAGTAAATTGAAAAGACACTAAAATAACAGTGCAATGGGGAAAAAAAGGATGAAATGCAACACCTAACAATAACAGTAATGGAATAAAAATGGAAAACACAAATAAAGCGACACTATAACTTAAAGCGCCCCTGATCTCCCGCACCCGTAAATAATGTCGTCACCTTTCCGGCCAAAGTATTACAAGCGCCATGCGACGTTTTTCATGAATGATACAGCACACACTGCCGTTACCCTGGTAAAAATTGGCAGTAGAATCTGTGTTGCAAAATACCATAGACCCACAGCCGGCTATAAGATTTCCAATGGCTCTTCCAGCCTTTTATAACCGATGGCGATTAAGCAACAGCCTGGCGATATAGTGTATGCTAAACGTTAGTAATTACCGATGCTAGGCGGACTTAGTGAGTTTTTGGACTACCGCTCTCTTTTTGGGCCGTTGTATCTTGATTTATTGCGCGAGGAAAGCTCCGTACTTTTGAAGGATGCCTGCCATTTCTAATACGTTGGAGCGCCTTCAATTTCGTATGATACTGAGCAATACCTCTGGTGTGAAATAGTTGCTTCAAGCGCCGTGGTACGCTGCGGCGCGGCGCAAAGGGTGGGCAGCCAGTGCGGAAGGCGGACTGGCGCCTACCAACCTAACAGGGATACTTCACGCATTGCGCAATGCGTGAAGTATCCCTGTTAGGTTTGTAGGCGCCAGTGTGCCGCCGCTCCGCTTTGTGTTAGGCTCTAATATTTAATCTCGTGGAGTCAGCGTTTTTGAACTCGCGACTATAAAAGCGCATCATGACACCCCGCAAAAAGAGTAGATTCCACTCTGTAATAATGTATGTTACTCCGCGTAAGGAGCATGGATTCCACTTCGCATTCAAATAAGTTGGATTGTATTTAGCAATAATCACTACTTATTCTGTCTCATTTTAGAAACAACATAAATGCCAGTAGATTCCCTATGCAGATACGCGCTTTTACGGAAGAGCCAGTTCCGGCTAGTTCCAGCTCGGATAGTGGTTCCTTATGACAAAATGTAATTCAGTTATCATTCGGGGTTTCGGGCACTAAATAACCTCCAGAACAGAATTTTCAAAATGTTTAACAATGTAGGGCCAAATTTTGTCGAGATGAACGGTTAAAAAGACTGTACTTCGCATTAGAAAATTACTGTTTCTCGCACATCCATAAAATCACCTACCTGCATTGGTGAAACTGCAAAAGCACGCCCAAAACCCCAAGTGATAACTGAATTACATTTTGCCATAAGGAACCACTATCCGAACTGGAACTAGCCGGAACTGGCTCTTCCGTAAAAGCGCGTATCTGCATAGGGAATCTACTGGCATTTATGTTGTTTCTAAAATGAGACAGAATAAGTAGTCCTTATTGCTAAATACAATCCAACTTATTTGAATGCGAAGCGGAATCCATGCTCCTTACGCGGAGTAACATACATTATTACAGAGTGGAATCTACTCTTTTTGCGGGGTGTCATGATGCGCTTTTATAGTCGTGAGTTCAAAAACGCTGACTCCACGAGATTAAATATTAGAGCCTAACACAAAGCGGAGCGGCGGCACACTGGCGCCTACAAACCTAACAGGGATACTTCACGCATTGCGCAATGCGTGAAGTATCCCTGTTAGGTTTGTAGGCGCCAATGCGCCTTCCGCGCTGGCTGCCCACCCTTTGCGCCGCGCCGCAGCGTACCACGGCGCTTGAAGCAACTATTTCACACCAGAGGTATTGCTCAGTATCATACGAAATTGAAGGCGCTCCAACGTGTTAGGAATGGCAGGCATCCTTCAAAAGTACGGAGCTTTCCTCGCGAAATAAATCAAGATACAACGGCCCAAAAAGAGATCGGTAGTCCAAAAACTCACCAAGTCCTAGCATCCGTAATTAGTAACGTTTAGCATACACTTTATCGCCAGGCTGTTGCTTACTCGCCATCGGCTATAAAAGGCTATGAGAAATTGTGTTGCCGGCTATAGAAGCTATTGGAAATCTTGCAGCCGGCTGTAGGTCTATGGTATTTTGGAAGACAGATTCTACTGCCAATTTTTACCAGGGTGATGCTAATTTCACTTCGATTCATATCACTAGGGGTGTTTGGGCGCCACCTAGACTTCGGCACCGAATTCCCTTACCGAATTTCACCAAAGAGTGCTGATTTAACATTCTGGATGTAAAAAAAGTGTACGAGAACTCACAAAACGCTGAATTTAACCGCCTCAGCACTTAGTTTTACATATTGACATTGCCAAAGTAACTGCTGTAGCGGTTAATTAGCGTGTTGTGAGTTCTCGCACACTTTTTTACACTCAGAATGTCAAATCGGCATCACTTTTTGTTCGGTGCACTCCTCAATTTTAACAGTGTAGGCTTCAGAAAAAAAACCGCCATGCGTGTCTCGGCACTTCATCGAATCGACAGTCGGTGCATTATCAGTTTTACGACTGACTGCAGTCGGTATTTCGGTTAACATGACGAATTGTTACCAAATCCCGGGTTGCGTGACCGATAAAGGTAGTTTGAGCACTCCCGCACAGTGGATCGAGTCAATAGGAGAGGTCGGACAAAATTCGGAAACTTTCAACGCTTATAACTCCGTTTATACAAAACTTTGACGTTTTAAAAGTGGTTCCAATGGTTTCTTCGTGAAATTTTCTGCCAGAAGCTCCCCTTGAAATTGACAATGTGATGAAATAAATATTAAAATTTGCAGTTTTAGTAAAAATATACACGTCCGACCTCTCTAATTGACTCGATCCACTGCGTCCCGGTGGCACACCCCTCCCGGCACTCCAGGCTTTGTTTTGTGAATGGAGGAGCCCCGCGCGTATAGCTCGTACGCACACGTCGAGTCGCCGTCATGAATGGCGGGAGGAAATCTATGAATGAACAAACTACGATTACGGGAGTAATCAGCTCTCGAGTGCGAGTGCCATGCCGCGGCAATAATTGTAATCGAACTGGGTAGGTCGTAGGAACTCACTTAATGAGCGACTCGGTCTTGCGTTGCGATCCATGACTTCTCCGGTCGTATCATCGCCGCGCACGCATTTGTCGGATCGTTTGAAGTCGCCGGAACGAGCGCGCGGCGACGTTAGCGCTCTCTGGACGGGCGGACTGAGACTCTCTCGACGATCGTATTCTGCCGCACTGGAAAAAAACACATTGGATCTAGAGTCCAGACTCTTAAAAACATTGACAAGAAAAAAGACCCTTGATTCAATCAGATTTTTGCTTAAATCAATATGAAATCCGCTCAAATTAAAAGGCTTGGTTCTTGATAATGGGGAGCGGAGATTGGGTCAGAGAGTACCCTGCAATCCAAAAAGAAAAAGAACGCAAGCAATTTTTACGTCTAATAACTTAATATTAATATTTCCTTGGCTCATCTAGCACACTGGAACAAAAAAC